TCTCCCTCTCTCTCCCTGCCCCTCCCCCACTTGCCCTCTGTGTCTCTCTCTCTCAAAAATAAATAAACATTAATTTTTTTTAAGATTAAAAAAATAAAAAGTCCTAAGTTCTTAATATGTTAAATTTTGAATATATATGAGACCCTAATGTATAGAAGCAGAGGCCTAAGTAATATCATAGATAGAAACACAAGAAGTTTTTAACCTTGTTCTCAAATAATTTATAATCACACTGTAAGACTCACCCATGAGTAACCTGGAGTCAAGATACTCTGTGCTGATACATGTGTATGAGTTATAAATACAGAACTCCAGGCACCAAGTTTGATTGAGGACCCATTTCCTGTTCTTCACACCTACCCTAATTCTCCTAGCGCCAACATTCAGATCCAGCTCCACTGCCTCTGAGAAGCCATTGGTCAATGTTCTAAGCCACTGAGGTTTACCTTTTTAAATCCTGTAATCATACTCTTCCTGTAACCATTCAGAGCCTTGCCCTTTTCTCTCAATGGTTTTAGGTAGACACTGCAACATGGTTAATATATATTTTTAGGCATTTTCATGTGTTTTCCCTATTTGGTTAAGATATCCATTGCTCTGGGGATGATTAAAATAGTTAAAATAGGGGCGCCTGGGTGGCGCAGTCGGTTAAGCGTCCGACTTCAGCCAGGTCACGATCTCGCAGTCCGTGAGTTCGAGCCCCGCGTCAGGCTCTGGGCTGATGGCTCGGAACCTGGAGCCTGTTTCTGATTCTGTGTCTCCCTCTCTCTCTGCCCCTCCCCCGTTCATGCTCTGTCTCTCTCTGTCCCAAAAATAAATAAAAAACGTTGAAAAAAAATTTTTTTTAAATAGTTAAAATAGGAATGAAAGGAAAAAGAGGAAAATGGGTGCTTTTTGTCCGAGTGCAAGAAGGTTTTAAAAGCAAGATATGGTCTAGAGAGAAGGATTTTCTAAATTCCCAAAGTTCCCCTTTGCAGATTAGAAGCCAAACCCAGCAAACTCCATGGTAGAATTTTACCCTCACATTGCAGAGAATAGAGACAATAGGGAGTTTTCTACAGATAAGAGGAGAAGAAAGCATTTGCAGGCAAGAAAGAAGATAATTTTGTGTGGATACCACAGGATAAGAGTATTGTCAGGTTCTCTGAGAATCAAAGGCCTGGACTTTCTTGGGTCTTGACCAAAGGTGGGAAGTTAGTTCACTGAAACATTAGACTCTAGAGACTGAGGCCTTCTAGAACATCCAGGTTGCTGCTCTGCCCCTCTGCACCCAAGATGGCTAGGGAAAATCTTAAAGTCTGAGAGGGAAAGCTCTGATTTCACATTTCATGAGCAAAGCTTGAGTTCCCATATGCTTCCATGGGAGGGAGGAACAGACACAGAGTTACTGAGACCTTGTAACACTGGATTCGATGAGAAGGATTAAAAAAAAGGATTAGATGAAAAGGATAAAAACCTCTCCAACATGTATATATTTGATGATTATATATTTTGATGGTGTGAGCAACAGCATAATACCCACAAAAAACAGATGAGATTCTCCGTGTGGGAAGCTACCAGCACAAAGTGCTCAGGGACCAGACCAACCTCACTCTGGTGAAGGTAGGGAGAACTGTATATAAGAAAGGCCACCGCACCCCCCACCCCAGAGGGTGTGTCAGCTTTCCCTGCAAGCATCTCACCATCTTGGGAGGGGATACAGAGGTGCTTCTTGTGAAAAGAGAAATATTCCTGACAGAGCATGTATATAGTTCAAATTCACAGAATATTTGTCTAAATTAGTCCCAATTATACCTAAGAAACTATTCTAAAATGAAAAAGACTGAATCACCTTTAATTGGAAATTTTAAATCCCTCCTATCACTATGGGTAGAACTGAGGAAAACAGGTATAGAAAAGAAATATATTCTTTTAGGGGCGCCTGGGTGACTCAGTCCGTTGAGCATCCAACTCTTGATCTGGGCTCAGGTCAAAATCTCACGGTTTGTGTGTTCCAGCTCTGCTCTGACAACACGGAGCCTGCTTGGGATTCTGTCTCTCCTTCTCTCTGCCCCTTCCCTGCTTGCACACTCTCTCTCAAAATACATAAATAAACTTAAAAAAAGAAATGCATTCTTTTATTTTTTGACCCATTTAGAGTATGTAAATGCTAATCCCTTTTCACATGTTTAACACAACAAGTAGACTGCAGTCTCCCAGAGATCTGTGCAATGCTTTATGCTATATACACAATAGGTGCCTCTAAAATGTACTATATGAAGAAAAGAAAGAAAAAAATATGGATTTCATTTCTTCCCTGCCTCTCACTCCACCAAAGTCAAGATAAATTATAAAACAGAGAGATTTAAAAAAAATAGCATAAGAAAAATCACAGAGAGAGTTCTGGAAAAAGAACTGGCATTCAGAAAGTCACAGGGTTTAGTCCTTGGAATATTAATACTGCTGGCCACAGACAGTCCTCCTGCCAAGGTTTCTGTCAATAAGCTGAGGTAAATATCTATCTGGACCAGTAAAGTCCCACAAAAGTAATAAGCAAAGTTTTCAATCCTCAAAAATATTTGAACATCTCTCTCTCTTACAGAGAAAAAAACCCTGGAACTTCTCATAAATGGATATTTCCCTTGGGGAACTAATATCCTCTCCAGGGTCAAACCTGCATTCTACTGAAGATTCAGTGAGGCAACATTCACAGGAAAGTCAGTTATTTTTTTCTTTCTTATTCTCTTACCTTAAAATTCACTTTGCTTTAAGAAGTCACTGAATATACATTCTTCTAATTGGAGCTTTCACTAGGAGAGAAACTAGGGCAAATTTTAGACAGAGCAAAGACAATCTTAAAAGTTGGCAACCAGGCCAGGGAAGTCTTAATGAGAAAGTTAACAGACTAGCTGGCTTTTTGTTGGTGTGCATGATGAGGTGTGCAAAGCTATTAACAACAGAACTCTGCAAAAAGCAGTGTGGAAAGCAGGTGAATATTGATTCTCTGTCTGAAGCTCATAAATAATTAAAGAGGCAATTGTAGTTTAAAGAAACAGGCACTACTTTTTTTTTTTATATAACCTGGCATAGTGGTATTCAGAAACTCCCTGTATTCAGTATCCCATAAAAAATATCCTTCTTATCCTTTAAGAAACCACTCAAATTTCATCTCATTCATAAAGCCTTTCCTGACCCGTCATCCAGCCATCACCAACCATTCCCTTCTCTGAACTCAAAGAGCATTTATTGCCCCCAGCACTCAGTGGGCATAAGCTGTTAGGTATCTTTTTTTTTTTTCTTAAACAAACATGATCCAATAGATGATAAAATCCTCCAGGGTAGGGTTCGCATTAAATTCTCTTATTATCCCTAGTATCTAGCCTGGAGCCTGATCCACAGCCCATAAGAGTTCAATAAATGTTTGTTGTTAATGATGATATGTTGTAGATGCATCTGAAACATAATCTGGATAAACAATACAGGAAAAGTGCAAATCATCATCTAACGAACATGCAAGCCAAGAAATCAATACAAGAGAGCTGTCTGAACTCCAAGTGAAAGACAAAGTAATGCCCTTCTCCCTGGCCCAACATCCAACATGGTGATGGATTGTGCTACATAAAATTATTGATAAAGACCAATGTAGCCACAATGATTTCTAAACAGTAGCAAGAAATATTAGATACAAAATGTAACATTACAACAAAGGCAGCAGAACTGAGAGGCAATATATGGGAGAAACAGACAGATTTGGTTGATGAAGAACTTCTTTACAAATAAGTAACTTGGAATATAATGAAAGCATGGCATTTTCATTTCCTCCTTCTCTATCTTCCCAGCCCAGAGACTGAGATGCTGATTTCTTACAAGATACTTCGAATGAGTGTCACTTGCCCCTCAAACAAAGGAGCAGGAAGGCAAACTTGGGCATTCAACCTTTGCCAAAACAAACTCAACCCTGTAAATGAGTTATGGTATTACAATATGAGTCAGGTTGCGTACATTCATACAATCCTCATTCACATGTACAGAGAGTAAAACAATCTACTTACCTCTTGTCTGAATTCCTATCTCCTTCCACAAGGTTTGGCTTATTAACTTAGTAACAGAAAGTACGGGCCAAATCTGTTCCAGCAGTGAAACTCATCTTGCCTTTCCCTGTCACTCTTTATTCTTTTTCTATTTACACCCTTTCTTTTATCCTGATGGTAGGGGACTCTTAGGGAGAAGGCTCTCTACCACTGTTATTGAATATGTAGGTAACATATTCAGTGCCCACATTGGTCTAACTGATATGAAGCTGTGAAAAGATTAATCAGGCAAACCCAAATGCCGTTGGTCCCTGGGCAAAGATCTGGAGCAAGATGGGAGGAAGGGAAGACCAAGTGGGGGCCACAGGTTGAAATTCTCCCCTAGACTGCATATGCTTTGTTGCTATATGGACAACTGGAACAAGGATAATTAACTTAACTGATCAATTCAACAGAACATTGATAATGATTTGACTGTTTCAATAGGATTTACTAGTTTCTATGGCTTAATTAACCTACCAAGAAGATTTGAATGAGTGCATTTACTCTTCACCTCATCCACTACCATGTTTATGAGTCACCTTTAAAATTCTGAAGGGGTCAAGGAACTTGCAAAATTAATTGTCTATATAGATACAGCTCTGGTCTGGTTTTTCTTCACTATTATTAATCATTTTCGTGCATTGAATACACTAGCTAAAATAAATGAGGATTGAATTCCATGGGTTAATCTATGTGTAGAAATAACAATTTCTATAGCCAACTTGGCTTCCTTCACAGCCAAAGGAAGACCAAAACCATCTCATTTCTTTGAAATAATTTGCCTGTGGTATCTCTTTGTGAGCCAAAGTTCTTATTGAAATAAAGAAAGAACTATACATATATAAAGTATTCCTATATTTAGTGAATATAGGAAGCTTCCATTATAAGATATAGAATTTTCCTTCTAGATCCTAAAGACATGGCCTTAGAAGTGATTCATGTACTCACGGTCATTCATGTCCTGTTGGCACAGTAGATTGAGGTCCTCCAAGCCTTTTCTTTGTCTGTAGATAGAGGTGGAAATATTTCAGTGGGATGTACTCATGTCCAGAAACACCCAGGAAAACATGTCCAGAAAACATCCAGTTTTCTAACTGGAAAGAGTCTAAACAGAATACAGAGTTCATTTAGGATGGTTATTTTTTTAGAATGATGGAGGCAGCCTGCAAAATGGTGAGTTGGAGCAATGGTTGCAGCCAGCACAAGGAGGCACTGTGGGGCAGAAAGTGGGATTCCCCACTAGATGGCGCTAGGATACATCTGTGGCACCCATGGGTATTGCTACCAAGGCAGAGCAGAGGGACGGGATCAGCTTTCACTCCTTTGTAAGCAAGGCTCTATATAGAGTGCTGTATGGATTAAAGTGAGTTTATGTGGGTATTTCACACCTCCTTAGGTTTGATCTTAAATTGAAGATATACCTGGGATGGCACATGTATATGTTCTTATGAGTAGGATTCCACATGCGGGTATGAATATGGGTGTGTATGAACACACATATACACAGAAAAATGTTACCTTATATAGACAGATATGGGTTGATATGAGTATAGATACGGATGGAGGGACGTTATTACAACAAATAGAAATCTGGATGGAGAAAGAGGACTAGTTTCTGTTGAATGTGTATAGTCTGCCAGGACTGTATATTTTCTCATTGAAATGTGACAATAGCTGTGAAAATTGGCTATTATTACCTCCATGTTTACCATAAAGAGGAAATTTCATGAACTTCATACAGATTAAGAAACTTGCTCAAGGTTACAGAGTTGAAAAACTGCAGGGCTTGGATTAAAATCTAGGTCTGCTTAGCTCCAAAACTTGAACACAGTCTTCAAAACCATAATACAGTCATGCTTCACATCACATAGACTTGCAATAGAGTTTTGCAATGTGCAAATTAATTCCATACCATAATTGTGGTATGTTTGCACAAACAATACAGACATGTGCATTATACAAAATTAAAATAATATATATGCAAAAGCTTGATCTATGTTGGATTGCAAATATATATATAAAGTTAAATACCACATTCCAGTTTCCCCCTTTTTACCCCAAGATAATTATTGAAGAACCCCATCATAGAACTATACATAAGAATGAATTCTAATACGTGACCCAATTAAAATGAGTCATTTAAAAGAATAGTAAGCTTATTTTAAAATGGATAAATCAAATCCACATGCATACATAATTGAATACATTCACTACTTGCCACAAAATACATTAGCATTAAGGTGACACTATGAATTCCATTAATATTGCCTCTTTATGTTGTAGGAAAAGCAATTTCCATTGAGGTGGTTGGAACACCTTAATTCAACGCACTCCACTAGGGTCTATTGTCATTGAAGACTGTGTAGCCTTTGGGCACAAGCCTTTCAATCTTTTTTTCTTCTCCAGAAAGTGTGTTGTTCTGTAAATTATGTTTTTGTGACACAGATTAAAGAAGATTAAAGAAGATAGTGCATAATGAGCATTTAGCACAACGTTTGGCAAAAAAAAAAAAAGTAAAAAAAAAAGTTAAAAGTCAACAATGGTGAGTATGATGACTGTAAGGAGAAAGAAAAGGAAGCAGAGGATGGAGTGCTGAAGGAAGGGAAGACTAAGGAGAAGAGAAAATGTTAAGAAGAAAGAAGCGGACAAAGAGAAAAGAAAGAAGGTAGAATTATAGCGAGATATAGGATCAAAGTGACAATTTCCAGCCCTTGCCTTCTCAGTGTCAGAGCTTCTCCCAGAGACACAAAAACACCATCTGAAATAATATGGGATGTTAAATATATGCCCTGCCCCCTTAAAATTACTCTATTCTTCATCTTAGGCTTTGTGCAATTTTCCTTTTTTTGTCTAAGATTGGTTACCTTTTCTGTAGGCTAAAGAAGAATGTCCTGAGAACAGAGCCCCTGGTTGAGATGGTGGAATTGAAAAGGAGGAGAAAGGCAATAAGCATTTCATCAACTTGTACTCTGGGCACTTGGAAAATATTTTGGCTGTGTTATTTACAAATGGACTATTTGGCAGCATGGTAAAGGTTAACATCGCTGCTCTGAAACTAGATGGAAGATGTGGAAACTCCTTCTAGAGAAAAAGTGAAATAGATTTTCTCTGGTGTTTCTGAGCTCTAAAAAACAGTATCTGAAAGGAGATATTATAACCCAGACAGAGGGGAAAAAAGGAAAATATTCTCAAAAGTAAAATTCCATTTAGTAAATTTCCTATGTAGATTTTTGTCATATCAGGCCTGTTTCTTTCCTTTGTGTTGGGGAGTGTTGGCAACTGAGTTGGTAATAAGTTAATAGCAATAATACAGGCTAACATTTATTGAATATTACTATATGCAGAGCACTGTTTTTCATGTATTTTATCACTTTATACTCAATATAATTCCATAAAGTAGGTATCATACTACAGATGAGAAATATGAGGCTCAGGGAATTTAAATAATTTGGTTAAAGGCACACAAGTATTAGTTGGCAGAGCTAAAACTCAAACCAAGGGCTAGCTGAAAGGAAAGCCATCTGTGGTTTACCATGCTACACTTAGATAACTTACAAGATGCCTGCTTCACTAACTCACACACAGTAGGTATTTGATAATGCCTCCCTTTGCTTTCTTCAAAGGTGTTACTGCCCTTGGATTGTTATTTCTTTTTCTTTTAAGTTTATTTATTTATTTTGAGAGAGAGAGAGAGAGAGAGAGAGTAAGAGAACATGAGTAGGGGAGGGGCAGAGAGAAAAGAAGAGAGAGAATCCCAAGCAGGCTCCTCACTGTCAGTGCAGAGCCCCATGTAGGGCTCGAACCCATGAACTATTAAGATCATGACCTGAGCTGAAACTGAAGAGTTGGACACTCTACCAACTGAGCCACCCAGGTGGCCCTGTTACTTCTTTCAATAAAGCTGTTTTTATCTGTGCACAGACTGAGAGAATGGGGGTCTGAAATATTCATTCTTTCCTGGATGTTTCTGTTTGGCTGATCCTAGATCTTTGCATAAAAGCCTAGCATCATCCTTCCCTGGGCTTAAAAAGCCATGAGATATGGGCCAACGGTTGGAGGTTACCTCCATGGGTACTTGAGGAGATGAGACAGGCAGGGATGAGAAGGAAGATGTCTGACCCCCCTGGGGGTCCTTTTTCTACATCATTCTGGCACATTCACACTTATAAAATCATGTGAGATACCTAAATTTTTTAAGTTAAGGGAGAAACTCAAAGCTTCACCTTGTCTCTAGCAAATAATTTTCTGAGCTATTACAGGACTATAACAAATCGGATCAGGAGCACTAGGCATGGTGGCCACTAATCAGTTATTGGCACAGTAGGAGGACATGCCATCAGCTATAGCTGTTGTTCAAGGAATGACTATTTCAACTCTTGTCCTACAGTCTCCTTTTATCTGCTTAAACTCCAAACTAGGATAGCAAGATGAGTGATGAAATCAAGGCCCATAGATGTCCAAGGTCACACCATTAGTCTACAAGTGAACTAGAATCCAGGTGTTGTTGTTGTTGTTTGTTAAACTTCCAGTCAAAACTAGTCTCTGATTCAAGGTATTTCCACAAATATTGGAAGATGGCTTGCTGGGGAAAGAAAGGAGGATCCTAATTAGTCAAATGTGTTTGGGAAATGTGGCATTCTCTATCATCTTTTCAGAATGTAAGATATACATTACGCACACAAAAGTCTCATACATCCTGCTATAAAATTTTAAAGCTCATTCTCCCCATAAATTCTGTACATTTTTTTTCAGGTTTTTTTTTAAACACCTGTTAATATGCAGAGGCACTAGTATTTCTTAGAGCCCATTTTAAGAAATAACACCTCAAAGCAATTCAGAGAGAGTTCTGGAAATGTTTCTTATTGGGAATCAAAGTATAAATAATAATTATAATAACTGCCTTTTGTTGGTATTTCTTTTATTGGTATTTTTATTGGTATGCTCATACTCTCTCTCTTCAGAATACCGCCATATATTTGTAATAGGTCTCTTGGGTCCCCAACTTTTCCTGTCAGATTGATTCTCTATTTTCCTACCAGATCTTCCTTTCCTAAATACACTTTCATTATGCCTTTCTCACCCCTCTATCTGTGACATTCTACTGTTCTCAGTCTGGCATTTTGATCTCTGTGCTGCTCTCCAAGATGAGCCCTTTGGTTTAATCAACCAACTCACTCTCTGATCCCTACACAGGATACAAGGTTTCTCAATTCCCCCACCTTTGTGTTCTCCCCTCTGCCCACATGTGCAGGTGTATTTGTCAATAGATTGTGGTTCCTCTGAGAGCACAGGTGGTTATGTGCTCATTACTGCTTCCTTCACAGGACCAGTTGTCTACCTGCATTGCCTTCAAATCCCGCCCCCCTCATCTATGACTCTCAAAAATGAATGTCCCTAAGCAGGATCACATTTGATGACCTGACACTCAGCAACTCATGTGGTGTTATCTTTAAGCTTAACTGTGGTGACAAAATTTTATTATTAAAGAAGTCAGAAATATCTAAAAGAATTAATTTCTGAGGGAAAAAGCAACATACATTTTTGTTCTGTCTTTTTAAAAAGTTTATTGAAATTTTAGACTTCAAGCCCAAGTTTTTGTGTTGGTTGTAGGAACAGGTGCCCATGGGGTTATGTCAAGGACATACTCCAAGTAGTTCCATTTCTACCATATAAAGTAACTGTTTGCAGAGGGATCAATGAATATAAAGGCAGAGAGGATGAGATAGAAGGACAATCGATAGTCAAAAGATCTGGCTTTGGGTTCTGGTTTTATGGATGACTCCTGAGTGACCTTGGGAAAAGTGACTTAACCTTCCTGGGCAGCACTTCCCTCGGCTGTAAAATAAGAAGTCTAATATTTAAACTCACAGGGTTATTGTGGGAATTAACTGTGGTAATTGCTGTAAAATGCCTTGTAAATTATAAGGGGCTCTGCAAATATTACTGTTAAGGAAATATTCTGGGCATCTCAGGTTTATTTGTCTGAGATGCCCAGAATATTGGA